GCAGGGTCTCACCTGCAACGCGCGCCGCCCCGCGGCCCGCGACTGACCCGCTTTCCGGCCTGCGGGCCCCTGGAGCCCTACCTCCCAGAGCCGGCCAAGCCGCCCGCCAAGTACCTGCAGGACCTCGGGCCCGGCCCTGCGCTCAACGGCGGCCACTTCTATGAGGGCCCGGCGGAAGGTAACGCGCGGCGCGGGTGTAGCGCGCAGCCCGCCCCGCTCCCCTTCCCTCCCCGGCCCGCCCGGCCTCCCTGCTCCCTCCCCGGCTCGCCTGTTGCACAGCTNCCTGTTGCACAGCTTTGGGACCCTCTCGCACCGCGCCGCGGCTCCCTCGGAAGCGGGGTCCAAGCAGGGCAAAAGCCGGCGCCTTGCGGGAGGCAGAGCCACGCGTGCCCTCGGCGGGAATGGGAGGCGGGAGGTCGAGACTATGCGGATCGGCTAAGGCTCTGGGCCCAGTCGGGCCCCAAGGCGGTCAGAGCCGGGAAGGAGAAGCGCATGCTTGGCCGGAGTGGGGCTGGAACTGTCACCTACCCAGAAGCCCGGCCCGGGCCCAGGGCCCGGGTGCCACACTGAGCCCTGGGCCCTGATGCGGGGAGAGAAGCGCGGCTTTTCCTATCTCCTGTCGCAGCCCCGAGGCTGGGCCCCGACCCCGAATGGCCAAGCCGGCCCCGCCGAGGGCTGCGGCCTGGCTTCGGCCGGCCTCTCCTCCCCAGGGCCAGCCTCCGCGGGGAAGGCGCTCGCAGGGTGGCGGCGGCTGGTCCCGCAGTGCCGGGGCCCTGCTCGCTACGGAACAACCGCTTTTATTTCTCAGACTAACCTGGCCTCCCCGTCGTTATGCGCGGCGATGGCCACCCTTCTCGCAGTCTTGACTTCCTCGCGCTTGATCGTCGCGGCTGGGCCGTCGGGAGCAGCCCGGGCCGGCCTGACCCCCGGGCGCCTCGGGGTCCTGTGCGCTAAGGTCACTTGGACCGCATCACTTCCCGAGATCGCGCCCGAACGCCGGGGCCTGGCAGGCCGGCCCGCAGCCCGCCAGCGCCCACCGCACGCGTGGACCTGTAGGAAACGTGGGGCCCGCGCCCGCCGCATCTGCGCTGCCACATCCCGCAGCTTAGGCCCGGAGCTGGCTCCTCGGAGGTCGGCCCCACCCGCCTCCGCCCTCCTGGCGCCTCGCGGGCCTCCGCGGAGTGGACAGGCAGCTCCGGCCCTCGCCCAGCCGGCGGTGGGAATGTGCAGAGGAGGGCGGGAGGCGTGTGGGGGTCAGCGGAGGAAATGAGCGAGGCCGCGGAGCTTCGTGTCTGTGCCCTTTGAAAGAGGCTCTCCTGATAAAAACCACAGTTGGGCCTTAATGAGAAGCAGTTGGCCTGGCTCCTCTGATCCCAGCCAGAGGCGGCGGTCGCGCAGCGCCGACCGCACCGCCGGGGACAGGTACCCAGCCTGGCCGGGCGCGCGGCGTCGGGCAGGACCC